TGATGTAAGGTAGGCGAACAAAATTAGTTAGTGATGGCTGAAACCGAATAATTCCCTATACATTCTGAAATAATACACTTTATGAAATCATAGGTATCGATCGCTTCCTAATGGAGAACGATGCTGGACGAAATATTTTCAACTAGTTTGAATCTAGGAAAGCTGTAAGTTAATATAGGCAATAATTTAAATGGTTATCTATTAGCTATAGTTTTTAATAATACAGTAAATGCCTTCTTGGTCTGCCTGTCAGACTTTAATTACCCAAAATAAAAATTTAGTGGATGTTTTTTGCTTTATATATCCGATTAACCACATTTAATCATCCCGTTATTCCGGACGTTAGTTTTGGCACAAAAGGGTGAAACAATTCCAGATAAGACCTTTACTTGTAAACGGCTGTGACTCGAAATTCTTTTGCCCGCGAAAATTAAAAACATGGGCTGTCGATGGATGGCGCTCTTGGTCCGTAAAATCTGATATTTAAAAAAAAACTAGGAAATATAATACTATTTATAGGTAACAATTCTCAAGGATATCCTATTTGGTCGAAATGCGTGAAAATTTTCACTGCCAATATGAAAGCACGGCGTCTGTGACCGAATTTGTTGAAAAAAAACTAGGAAATATAGTAACATTTATAAGTAACAAGTAACTTTCGTGGATAATTGAGAATAATGAAAAAATACTGATAAAAACTCGCAATAAGAAAAAATTCTTCCTGACAACTTGAAATTTTCCAGCAAACGATTTATTAAGACTTATGTGATAAAATTATTGCTAAACGATACTTTAATCATAAAAAGGGATTTATATTACAACAAACCAGTTTACGTTAATCTAATGCTCTGTAATAAAGCTAAGATATTTCTTGGTGTGCTAGTAGATTGTGGTACCACCAGGTTTAGACTTCATATGGATATTTTATTTTGAAAACTCCATAATACACACAAATTAAGAATGGAGAATTTTAGAGAGCTAACAAAACTTTTAAAAAGATGAGAAATGAGAAATATCGTGTGCCGGCTCACCGCCATACCCTCACAAAAATCACAGAACAACACAAACCTTGCTAAATGGGGTTTGGGCCAAAAATAAACATACAAAAATACGCGAATGTATTGATTGAATCTATTCAATCATATGTTAAAGATGACGATTTTATAGCGCTACCAAAAATATTTATTCTAAGTATACCCGCTGTCTGAAACTTGAAATTACAAAAACATAAATGAAAGAGATAATATTTCACTTTACTAAAACTAACAAGTAAGCTAGGCTAAAATATTTGGACATGAATATGTCATAGCCTTCTAGCGAAAAATACATTCTTCAACAACTGAAAAAGCAATTGGTCGATTTTTTCATAACAACAAAAAAAATACCAAGAAGAACAACAACAACATAATAACAAATTCATATGTCCACCTCGTGTCCAATAATATATCTCCTAAACGTGTCGATGACTCCTGCAAGGAACACTTCGGCACAGACTATGAGCTTTACCACGAATTCCACCTCATATGTTAATTCTAACAATTTTTTTAAACTTTTATATAACTAAGCTAAACCAAGCTAAACACCCACAGCCACTATGCCTTACATAATTTGGTAACTCAAAAGCATTCGCACAAAAGTAATTTCTTGCGAACGAACATTAACTAGTTTTTCATCCCTAAGAAGTACAAGTAATAAATACTACGTGTGACAATACCTGCAGTTAATAAACTACTAAAATAATAATCCAACAAAGACTACTGGCTGAAACAAAAATATCCACGTCATGTGTCAATATTGGTCTATAAGATAAGTATAGAATTGGGGTGAGGGATCTTTTCCCGAATATCGACTTCCGTGTTTATTTCCGTAATTGTCACCTATCAGCAATACGTTAACAGTGACGCATGAATCAAGATATTGACACAAAACAAGATAGTTTTATTCCACAAGTGATATATACATAAGCATGTCGATTCATACCGTACATTAGGTCATATAGATATAATACAAGTAACAAAAAACAGAACCCAGATCATTAGGATATTCTATATATATATATCTATATTAAGATATTCTAGAGAGAATGTAACTTTTACTGAAACTTTCAGGAACAATCATACGCAAACAGACGTTCAAGTGTTAAATAAATCTTCTTTATTTTCGTAGAAGTAGCGTAATTGAGAAATTATAGTTTCTGTTTTCTAATCATCCCGTATTATTTACTCAATGTGTGCAATAACGAAATATATGTTCACGTTGGCGACTTTTGCAAGAAAACATTTTGCGAATCATCAGGTATTTTTTACAAAACAAGGCTGCCATAAACTTGGTCTAACTTTGGCCTAAAGTCTCATAATCATCCTGTCCTGGCCATAACATACTGAAATCTTGCATGCTATGAACATACAAGGTGTCTACGAAGTATCTTTACAATTATAAAATTTAATACTAAATATAATGATAAATGATTTTTATAATTAAAAAAGATTTATAGAGACTTTGTACAAGAACAGACTCACCATAATAGATATTTTAATTCAAAGCTTTATTTAAAATAGGCTTGAAAATTGAAACGATATAATCCAATAACATTATTAATCGTCGACTAGAGACGAATTTCGTACTCTAGAATCCAGCTCATACTTACCTACAACTCTAGTCCTAATTGTATGGCAAATATCTTTCCAAATAGCTTTCAATTTTAAGCCGATTCCTCGGAAAACGTCTAGCACAAGCTAACTCAATAATGAAACTTAGAAACCCACAAATCGATGCATCCTATTTCGAAGTCGCCTCCAGAAAATTCCGCGGAAGCAATTTATTCGCCTGATTTCCAAAACACAAAAGAAGTTTACAACAAACACGTAAACGACGCAGCCGCATGGGCGTCGAAGAACTTTACCAAAATACCAAACATTAGGAACGAAAAAGAAACTTAAATTTAACATTTTGTATTTGTCTTGGTGCCAGTGTTAGGATAGTGTGTAACACGACTCTAAAGTCACTTAGATATTTAACAACCAAATAATTTAATCTGACACAAATCGAAATTCTAAACTGCTGTAAATATTATCTAATTGAAAATTTACATCCTGAAATGAATTTCAACTCGATACAAATATTGGTACCTATATGTGGCATAGTTATATCTGCGATTCAAACTACACTTACTACATACTTAAACAAGTATTGATATTATTTTACGTTATGTCACGCTCGAGACACAATTTATCAGTTGCGGTAGATCATACCAGAGGATATTTAGGTGTTACAATGATTCTATTTGTCGCGCAATTTACTCATTTATTCATATGTAAAAATCCCAGGATCTAATTTTTGATGACGTGAACTGCAGTTTCACTTCAAACAGTATTTATTGGCTCATAATGCACATCATATTTTTATATAATCTCTCACCCTTCAGCATTTCCGTGGTATCATGCAACTTTGCTCAAAAACGAATCTCTTTTATTTCGGAGTGAGTTCAACAGAGTATAATTTGAGCAAACTCTTCAAAAAACAGTGAACCAGTTTTTGAGTTCAGAAACTAAACCCCGATGTAGCCCGATACATAAAGCCTCACAAACAGTAAACAAACTTTGACTTCACAATTTTCAAGAACTTAGGTAACGGATGCAGCTGTGAAGTTTCAAATTTAAACCCCAACCTGTCTAGGAAACAGCGATCGGCGTCTATAGGCTTTGAATAACAGCTTTACAAATCTAAATTAACAGTCAGCAAATAAGTCGGTCGCTAATTTGGTCTGCTAATGTATTCAATACGGTACCCTTGGACGAGTAAAAACGGTTCTAGGAAAATTCGCCGCAGGAAATTTCGCCGGAAAGGAAAAATTGCCGTATTTTACTGTAATACAAGTATTTGTGATAAAAACAGTTAGTTTTTGAGATACCCTTTCATTCAAAAAAGATTCGTTATTTAAGAGCATACCCTAACCATAACCCTATACCAGGGCTACTCAACTATTTTTACCGAAGATCCGCATACAAAACTTCAAAAATATTTGGTTCCGGTTCTTCCAGAAATTATATTTCGGTATCCTTAAACACGCATTTCCTCGGCCGACTAATGATTATTAGCTAATCAAGATTGTTTAATATGGTGTAACAGTTGTTTTAATATATATTTAAATCTATAAGAGTGATTTTATAAAAGGAAACTTTAAAAGTGCGGGTAATGATCAAAAATGAAGAATTAGGCGCGGTCCGAATCGAATACCCGAAAGATCCGGATTCGGACCGCGGTCCGCCAGTTGAGTAGCCCTGCCCTAAACGACGAAATTTCCTGTGACGAATTTTCAGGGCACGAGTAAAACAGTTATAAGATAAGAACTTGTACTTCTCTTAAACTATGTTTCGATGCACCACTAGAAGATGCAGTTTTGTGAATTTTTTGTCATCATATTAATCACATTATGGTCCGAGGAAACTAAACAAAAAAATATCTCAGTAATAAGATTTTCACAAAATACCCAAACTTACTGAAGCCTCCATCTTTTATACATAATTAGATTTTAGGCCTATGAGTGTCGCTGTTTCATAAGCTAGTAATACGACCATACACGTTCATCAGAGTCCGCTATCTAATAAATTTAACAACCCCCGAGCACAATATCCTCACAAAACTTGAAATTAAAACAGTAAATTACATTGAATTCTAGTCAAAACATCTTCCTATCGCTACTTTTGGGAATTGTTATAATCTTCCACAATATTAGCACACCAAAATTCACTCACCAAAAGGGTATATGAAATTGTCGTACCTCCTAATATGCGCACCAAAATGGCGCACAACCTGAACACAGGTTGTGTACCCGGTTAGGGTTCAGGTTATGCGACATCTTGGTTCCCTGAATTCGCGTCCTGTTTGCTTATCCAATGTTGTATCATGGCGGAGTTCAAAATAAATTGTCTTCATATTCAAATTACTGGGAACATGGACGCAAATGTTTTCAAAAATACGCTTTAAAATCTAGAACTCACTTGTCAAAAGAAACCTCCAATTCGGACATATCTTTCTGTACTTTAACCATTTCTCTGACGATTCCCTGCAGCAACGTTTCATAATTCCGGAGTAACTCGCTATTTCCACTTGATTCGACGTTCTTGTAAAGTTGCGACATTCCTTCGTAACTGTTGTAAGTAAAAAGTGAATATGATCAAATGTGTAAAAAATATAAAAGTGTTTCAGTGAATTGAACAAAACAGCGAAATATTAGGTGAAATATTGCGCAGTAAAATGATACCCATCTACCCATCCCCAGTTTCAGATTAGTCCAGAATATGGTTTTTGAGAAAATTGCGGGCAAAAGATTTTGTTTTTGCCTTCGTATCCAAATATTTGATCATAACTCTCTTGTCGATCAGAATTCGGCGCATTCTTAAGCAGTCAAAGAGAATATAGTTAAAATTCACCACTAAATGTCACCATGGAGCAATAATGAATCTTGAAAATTATTTTATTCATTGAGATGAACGGTTCATCATTGGAAAATTTAAAATTGAGAAAGTTTGACGGAGCGCAGTACCACGATAGCACTAAAACATGGCATTTGTCTGAAAACAAACTTTAAAAGGAAGATGTGCTTCCTCCGGTAATCGTTCTAGTACAAGACAAATCGGATGATGAAGTATCAAAAAGGGGGTATGACAAACCAGGCAGGGGCGTACCAACAGTCGTGGAGTAGGCTACCCCCCTTCGATATTGTGATAACATATGTGCAATTACATTGAAATCACAAATATCTAACTATCAAGTTAGGGTTCGGGTTCGAAAAGATTTAAAAATTTGAATTTCCAGTCAAATCTGCATTCCTAGCCCTCACCCTAACTGTATCAGTGGCGGGGATGTTTTTTTTTTTGCGTGGGCTTTGTACAAAAGATCCATACTGCGTGCTGCGATATCAATATATATGCATTTATTGATCACATGATCAGTGGCGGTTTCATTTTTTTTTTCATTGGGCTCCGATCGAGCAGATTTGTCTTTAAATGACTGGTTTGGGTCTAGTACTGACATACTTGAAATTAGGATACTTTCGTAGTATGTGTATCAGTTTAGGGTTAGGCCATAATTTTATTTCAATTTTCTTTATTTTAGTTCTATTACGAGTTCGGGGACTGTCTGTGTTAGCCAAGCGAATATACCCCCTGCTAATAGGTTTCAGTTCCTTTACACAACTTGATGTAAAGTAGGCGAACAAAATTAGTTACCTCCATATTGGTATACATACTTCTGGAGCGCCAAAATTTGTCGGCTCCTGTGCGTACCAGACTAATGTACAAATAGCAAATCGAGGCGACAGTGGCTTGTTAAATTCACACTCTTCGTGGGTGATAAATTTAATACAGTTTACAAAAGGCGAGGTGCTGTTTAACTACTCTCACACCAAGCCCGTTTAAAAGAAAAGTAAGTTTGAACGTTATTGTTTTATGCTATAGAAGTTGACATATATAACGAGTTTTAGGTATTTAGTATCGTATCAAAACAAATTAATTAGAGGCCAACTAAGTATTCAAGGTTGCATATGACATGGACGGGTATAAAAATGCTTTTCCCATTTACAATGACTAATAGTTGTATGTTCAACTCAACAATTGAAAAACAAACAAAGTTTAAATATTTTGTACACATCGGAGAACAGGACATTCATAAATACATTTTTCTTGAAAAGTAATATTTAGACTATATTTTCGAACCTAAATTTTTGAACGACAATTGATAATTGAATTGTCACAAATGGCATACAGACAAATCCAATTCTCAACATATGTTCCCAACTATTGGCGAAAGGAGTTCATATATTACACAAGAATATTATAGGAGAAGTGAGTACTGCAGTAGGGTCACAATATGTCGGTCTGTAGCTTTTCTAATATTAATTAAGAAGTCTTGAGTGTTTAAAAAGCGCTTCAAGCTACAAAAATTGCTATATATGATACAGATTTTTTTTTTGTATATCCAAAAGGGGTGTGAGGTCCCGCCCTGGCAAACCTCTGCAACCGATGTTGATGAAACTATGAATAGAAATGGAAATTCGAAACGCCGGCAAATTAAATGGTTTTCTTTATCATATGATCAATGGGAGTCTTTCCCAGTGTGTGGATCGCCTGAAAATCACCCGGGTCGCTTTTTTAACAGAAACATAAAAGTTATTGATTTTAATTTCTAGTAAATTTTAAAAACGTGAAAAGCGTGGCGGCATTTATTTCACTATGTGAAGTAAGACCACACAACGGTTCAATAAACATCTTTTTTCATTAGTCCAACTTCAAGGTAATTTTTGATGAAATAATAGTAAAAAATAATTCTTTTGTAATAGTAATTAAGTATTCGAGTATATTCTTGGGTACAATATTTCAAATTTGTCTTTTGGAAAGATCGGGTCGCAGAAAACCACAGCATCCATAACATGTAACACCCTGTTTCCCAACATCTACCCACTCAAAAGTACATGTAAATATTAAGTTTTACAGTCGATAGTACGATCCATTATTCCCCGTCACCACATCCGGGATAAAAGAACCTTGTCAAGTGTATTATAATTCACGTTGTTGCGTACAATAATAAGCCTGACCCTATCCATTTGAAGCTTTGGCTACGCTGTAAAAAATAACCAGCAAGTATACCGACATTGCCATATAATTGTATTAGTCAGTCACGTTAAAACTTCTTAAAGATATTGCCTTATTATTTATTGGTATGAGGATTTTATTCGACTATACTTTACATGGAACATAATATTGGGTGCGCCAAAAGTGTGTGTAGTATGTGTACCAATATGGAGATAACTAATTTTGTTCGGCCACTTTACATCAAGTTGTGTAAATGGACTGAAACCTATGGGCAGGGGGTATATTCACTTGGCTAACACAGACAGTCCGCGAACTCGTAATAGAACTAAAATAAGAAAAATCGGAATAAAATTATGGCCTAATCCTAACCTGGTACGCACACTACGGGAGTACATAATGTTGTATTTAACATACTGTCACTTCAATTACTTTGAATTCAATAGTAAATTTATCGCGATTTTGGTAGTGTATGTGTCACGGCAATATTAGCTACGTTCGCACAAAGAATTGTCAAAATCACGATGGTATGCGCTACGATAAAATTGACGTGTTTATTCTTCGGCTTGATGCTTTATATTTTTGTGTCATTGTTAAGGGTTTTTGATTTATTAGTTGACGCTATCAACATCTATTAATATCTAATGCATAGAATATCGCTCGAAATATTTGTGAATAACGATCACAGAAAACCGTGGAGGGGAAAAAGGCCAACAAACATCTCGAACCCATTTTATCATGAAACCGTGTTATGAGTGTGTGTACCTATAGCTAACTAATTTTGTTCGGCTACTTTACATCAAGTTGTGTAAAGTGAAGTGATGAAAGCCTATATTCACTTGGCTAACACAGACAGTTCCCGAACTCGTAATATGACTAAAATAAGAAAAATCGGAATGAAATTATGGCCTAACCCTAACCCATTCTAATATTAAACGCTGAGTGTCTTCATTACTAGCCGATATCTGAGTTGTGCAATACAGAACAAAATAAGTTTCAGTTAGTCTTCACCAAAACTGCTAATGTGCTCGGAGAAGTCGTACAATTGAAAACTACATTCTGTGATACTTTAGCTTCTTGCGGCGATTTTGACTTAACACATATCACAATTCATGTATTCGAATAAAACTTCTGTTCCTCCGTGTTTATTTTTCTCCTTAATCCTTCATATTGTTGTGTCATTGACCCATTGTAAAGGGTATTTGGTTTAATTGGATGGCGACTTAGCTTTCCCTATGACATAGAACAGGGATACCCCAGAAATTTTCGAAATTAGGATATTTTGGACTTTGAGTAGCTTTGGTATTGAACATCTTTTAAAAAAGTTGTGAATAAATAGTATTGAAATATCAATAAAGAAATAACGTTCAGTTCGGCTTACCCACAGCTGGCGACACAAAGTACGAATGTACCCGCGGAAGTAACAAAATTGAAAACTACATTTGCGTTTTGAACATTTAGCCATGATTCACCAAACTGGGATTTCACACAAAATCATACAAAGATGGATAAGTTTTAACATTTTAAATAAAATATTAATGACTATAAAATCGACGAACCCGCCTAAACGATCTATATTGACAAAGGGAGTTTCCTTTAAATTCCTAACGGCCTTCGCGATGGTTTGAATGTCGCCTTTGTTTAATGTTATTGGATAAGAATAGTTAACACGACTATTCGATTATGATTGCAGTCAACGACTGCTATAGATACACGCAAGGGAACCCGTTCGGAAAACGCCTAAATTTACAAGGAATCCCGCTTAGGTACTCTAAATAAGAGTTTCCCCAAACTTTGTGGACCGCGGATCCCTGTTTGTGAATCTTTTTGACGGGCCCCCATCCTATGCCGTATCAATATATGTGCGTAACCAACGAGAAAGGTGCGGGAAAGTCATCATGGACCCCTGTTTCGGAACACCTGCTCTAAATCTAAGACATTTGCAACAGGATTTAAACCAGTTGCTGCAAAAACTATTTTCCAACAAAACGCTGTTTCCGCTGCAGGTAGAACTTTTCAAATAAAAAAAGAGAGCCATTCTCCAATTTTATGAACATAAAGGTAGAATGACTAATATGACCTTCGCAATGTCAGCAAACTTGTAAAAGTGTCATACTCTTCGTCATACGAAGGTGTGCCCGTAAGTTGAAGTAATATAACAAAGAGGGTACTCCCGAAGTATGTGAACCAAGACGGCGGACACCGGAACGTAATAAGTATACCAGGTTAGGCCCCAATTTAATTCCAATTTTCCTTAGTTTCGGTCTATTACAGGGCTCTAGCCAAGTTCGGGGACTAGCCAAGTGACTCCCGTAGAATTTGTACCTGAAATTATGACGTAACCCTTACCTGGTACACATACTACGTTATGGTGTCCGCCATCTTGGTTCACATACTTCGGGAGTACCGCAAAAAGTGACGTATGTGGGGCGCCGTAGGAATCTGATGGAATAATACATATACTGGTTATTATTATAAAATAGCCTATTTGCTTCCATCAAAAAAAAAAACATAAAAAACAAACTGAATAAGCTAGAAATATCCAACAAACTATTTCTTTACGAATCAATTACATGACATAAAATTACAATCCGGCGTTTTGGACACCCTCATTACGGCATGTTGTCAGAATTTAGTGCCCGAAAACATACCAAATTTTAGTCTAGTGTTCAATGTGATGATAAACTTTCAACGGTTCATAATAAGCTAAGCTTAAAGGCACTTACGTGAATTAAACAAGAATTAGACTATTATTTTTAATGCTCAATAATGTAAAATTAATATCGATAGCCTAGGGCAGGGGTCGGGAACCTATGGCTCGCGAGCCATATATGGCTCTTTTGGTGACGGCATATGGCTCCCAGAAAAATCTATTATTCTAAGATTAAGCTTACTATTGTTACTAGACTTCAAACTATTTTATGGACAAATTTGGCAAAAAATTCCCAATACCTTTGACAACGCGGGCCCAGCGCATGTCTATGTTATGTAAGAGAATTACCAGACAGGCATTGTGACAAAACATGGGGATTCTGGAACATATATTGTGACATCACAAAGCGATAGAGTTTTAAAATACTACGGAGATGCCTAAACGAAAAAGGGGGGATCAGTATCGTAGATTTCAACTTGGGCTGCATGTGAGCAACCGTTCAAGGCCCGCAGCGACAACATGCAGCATCAGAAGTCACATTAAATGTATATTGACATGGAATGTGTTGACTTTTGAGTAAACGTTTCAGGCCTGATTAAGTGAAGAAATGTTATATGGCTCGCACGGAAATGCAATTGAAAATATGTATATATTAGGGCTCTCTTGACCAAAAAGGTTCCCGACCCCTGGCCTAGGGGCACGTCTTACACAATGCGCTTGAATGGAATATCTCAAAACACCACGCAGGCCGAATAGCTGATTCACGTCGCTAAAATTTAAATGTTAGAAATTTTAAATGACTTTTCACACATTGTGATGTCATAAGAGCGAAATATATGTCGACCACGTAATTCTCTAAACTGGATGCCCCAATAAATACATAACCCATAAAACTAGTGAGTAAGTCTAAAAAAAATAAAAAATATTTGTACCTCCAGAAGTATGTGCACCAAGATGGCGCACAACCTGAACATAGTAGTTGTACCAGGTTGGGGTTCAGGTTGTGCGCCATCTTGGTGCACATACTTCGAGAGCGGCAAATATTTAACACTTGAACTCATGCTATGAATGTTTGTACCCAAAAAGATTCAGTAACCTGGGACGCTTTGCAGAAAGTTATGATCTTTCTAGTCTAGAATATGTTCCGAATGACTAAGTTTTGTTTTAGGGTCACCCTATCCGTACCTATCCCCATGAAAATCGTGAATTCCTGCCCTAATATGATTCATACCTATAGATTCCAAAGCTATCAGAATGCGAGAACTTCCTTTACTCAGTTATAAGACAATAAAACAGGCAAATCTCATGCGACATGTTTTATTTGAAAAAAACCACCATTATAAAGTCATGATGAGTCTATAGAATGAATTGAAAATTATATATGTTTACCATATCATAAAATGAATTGAAATCGATAAGGTAATTCATGAACAAAAAGTTTACCATTGTATTTTTATTAAAGCTTGACTCAACAAAAATAGGTGGAGCTTAAGATTTTTTTATTGGGCAGCATTTTGTCTTGTACAGAAATGTGCATAAAAACAAAGCAACTTCAACTAAGCACAAAAAAGAGAGCATAATACGTGGATCCAAATTTATCGAAAATCACATTATGTAAATGGGAACTACATAGAAAAATTCGATATTAACTTGACAAAGTTCACATGTGGCTCAGAAATGTGTAATTTATAGAAGAATATGAATTGACCATTTGCCAGGTATTATTATTTTTCAACAGACATTATTAAAATAACCCCATAATGACTGAATTTGTCTTTCTTCTTGAGATATGAAAAAATGATAGCTAAAAGAAATAGAAGCTTTAAAATTTCAGTACACTGACATAATGAGATAAAAGCAACAAGAAATATAAAATTCAAAATAGATTAAATGCCCCACAGATATGAAAACGCTCCAAAAATATCCTCCATGTAGCATTAAGTGGCGCATTGCAACAAATACCATTTTAAGAAAAACTTGCATTTAATTTCGAGTAACATGTTTTAGCACCAATTCCAACATTCTCATACTTCAATTTTTTCACTAAAAGCCAACCTCATACATTTTCACTATTAAAATTTCAGAAACTTCGGCAATTTTTAGTATTTAAAAAAAATGTGTTAGTCAATTGCAATATATCGACCATAGGGCCTGCAAAGAATAATTAGCAGCAACACCATGTCTTTGCTTTTTGAAATTGATATTAAATTCAAGTAAAGCTAAATAGAACTTGCACTTAACCATCAACTGTCAAACAGGAAGTTACAGGAGAAGTTTTAGTTTCAACTTAGCCCGATTTAACACAATTTCAAGCAATGTGTGTAATTGCTTTTCAATAACTCTGTTCATCTTCAAGGACTGCTTTACGCAGACAACATGCAAACACAATCACAAGAATTTCAATTCCTGCAACAACAATCCCTGCTATCGCTAAAATAAACAGATGGTCTTTCAAGTATTGTTCCAGCCTTGTTAGACAGCCCATGCTGTCCACTCCCTTTATTCTGTAGATGTTGGATGGATGGTCACGAACACTGCAACCTGGTGTGACTGTCTTGCAACAGGACTCTGGTGTTTTTAGATCTCGTCCATTTTCAACGTAGAATCGACTGCTCTGTAAAATAATAAACAAAGAGAAGATTAATTTTAATCTTACATAATGCAATGTAACAATAATATAGAATATTTAGAACTTTCAAAGAACCTAACAATATTCAAAGAATGTCATTTTCAATAGTTTACACTTCATATAATAAATTTCTAAAGAAATTTTGGCATGCACAAGGCGCAAGCTAAATATTTTTTTAGGACACTTTTTCAGTGGCCTATTCAGAAACAGAAAATGAACAAGAGCAGAACTGGCATACATTCAATACAGATGTAGGCCATAAAGAGGCCCCAGAAATAAAATTTAGGCACAATCAGATATTCCTAATTCTTTGTTAAATGATATCAGCATTTCAAATTCAACTATATTGTGAATCACTGCAAAAATGGAATTCCTCATATTAAAAATGTTTCTCATTGATACAAATGTTCACATTGATTATTCACCAAAAACTTATTTGATTACTAAATGTCTCCAAGCAATGACTCATGGGAGCAGTGTTCACTATTAGCGCACTTTTTTGCGAAATTTGCGAAGCACTTTCGCAACTTTTTTTAGGGACTGCGAAATAGCACTTTTTTCCGATTTTGAAGAGAAATAGCACTTTTTTTCGATTTTGAATGGAATAAAAATTCAAAGTTGACAAATATTTTTGTGTGCGTATTAAGTTGACAAATAAGTAACATACTAGTACTTTTGTAACTCAATTCTGCATATCATAACGATATTTACCGGAATTCTAACCTATGTGGTGAAGACATGGAAGATAAAGCTTTTGCATTAATGGCAAAATTCTTGTTTATAATATGATTATTATACAAGCACACCGATTCCGCTTCGACCGCGAAAACGCTCGGCGGCGTCTTTGAAACCAGATGTCCGAATGCAAGGCAGTGCGTTTCTCTAAACGAGAGTGGTCATGTGACTGTCAATGACATCGATGAATTGTGACCAAAGTACACGATTTTCTAGTACTGGTTTGACAGGTCTGTGTTCTCTTCTTAGTGAATTTACTGGAGCCATTCAGAAATTTCTGATACTCGACACGACATTGTTTAGTAATGGAATGTAAACTTGGGCCATTGTTTGTTAAATTAGAAGAAACTTTTAGCAGCATCTCACAGATTTGCAAAATCGCCAAATTGACAAAATACATACGTCGTATTAACATTTAACAGCCATTTTATTGTAACCACGAATGTTAAAAGCAAATGGCGTTTCGCGGAATTTTGCGATATTCAGTATTAGCTAGTCTAGTCATTCACGATAAATCAAACTCAGACCAGGGTCAAAAATCAATCTAAACTATTTCCTCATTAATATGCGAGTAGGGGTGGGCAAAATCGAATATTTTTTCGAATTGAATATTTTTAACGAATAAGGAATATTTTTTATGCACAGCAGGAGTCTAGAACGTCGGTCGAAAAATTAGCAAGGAAGCCTTTTCTACTGGTTAATTTCGTTATAATAGCTAATTGTTTTTGTCACCGCAATCGTTTTGGCGACTATATCCTGGGTTTGGCAATCCAGGCTTACGCGTGCGTTCACATCGGCAACAGCTGTTAAGGGCATAACGACAAATTTCAAAACCAAAATAAACATTTGCGTTGACTTGATATTACCTATCAACGTTTGTAAATTTACTGTCCCAATTTTAAGCGAATGGTATTATTATTATCGATGCCGGAATGCAATATTTAAACGATAATTAACTTTTATAATTTTTTTATGGTGTCTGTATTAATTTACAGATAAACCTCGCAAATCTGAGATTGTGCCAATCCTGAATGTTGATTTAAAATTGTGATTAAATAATTCGGCAATAAAGGCATTTCTGCGTGGCCATAAGACGAGATGACTTTAATAAACAGCACTTCTTTAAGGATATTTTACATATGCGACTAATGCTAAAAACATTGGGCTCGAGTGCTCTGGTGCCTAATCAGGCGCTAATTGCAACTAATTCAACTCAAGTTTCAACGACTTTTTTCGTCTTCACGATATGTTATCTTTTTTATTCGGTACTGATAATGATAAATAAAAAATGTGTAATTGTTGATTGCAATTCCGGAAAAAACGAACGAATTTAACCGCGGTTAACCGCGCATTGGAAAGCAAAACACAATTTATTAACATTACTTTACAATGAGTTACGGGTAAGAATTAACCAGACGGCTATCGCTAACATGTAGAAACAATAAATTTGAAACGATTTTGTATAAAGCGTGTCAACATCGTTTTTGTAAATTTAGAAACGTCGATAAGTAAGACAAGTAAATAATGTATTTTATGGAACTTTCATGAGATATTGGTGAGAAATATTATTTTGACCATGTCGAAATGCCATTATTGCCGATTTATTCACGTGTTTAGTTACTATCAGTGTTTTAACCCAAAGCTGAGTTACGTAAATACTTAACACTGAGTACTCAAGAGATAACCAATTTGCGGAGTTTTTCAATTATTATTTAATACGAAAGTAACACAGACACGATCTAAAATTAAAAGCATAGAAATGTCAACTATCTGCTTCACAAATATCGCATCCCGGGGTCAGTAATAATATTATTGTTCGCTTAAACTCGGGACGGTAATTTACGAACTGATACAAATCCTACACAGAAGATAAAAATCAGAACAAAATCAATTTTCGTTGTGAATGCGCTCATTAATAGTTGTCTTTAAAATCTTCGCCGATGTGAATTCACAATTCTATCCGAAATATAAAAACCAAACTACGATGTCCGCCGTTACGTGAGAATTAATATTTGCTAGTGAATAAAAACATGCTTTAATATAGTTTAACAACACGATCGCGGCGACAAAAAATTTACTGCAGCCTTCGATTATGACAAAATTATGAAATAATCATTGAATGGCAATAAAAATTTAACTTCATTAACAATAATTTTCAAGTAATAGTTTCACATTTTCATGATTTTGATCGTCGCTACATGCGAGCGTGTTTTTGTACATATAAACCATGATGACACTACTGACATCTGCGAGTTATAGATCTCTCCAAATTTAATTTTCGCGATTTTTAATGTTTCATTTCTAGATGCGGATGCCCGCTGACTACGGATAAATGGTCGATGTTTAAAAATAGGACTTCGGACCGTTGGGCAAAGAAAGGCGGGCTACACGTAACTGCGAAATTTCGCCGTGAACGACCTTACATTTTAGTTATAAACGCATTACGTCGTCGCGAATTGCAGTTTTGGTGTAATGTTTTAACTTCCCCCTAATCTCCCGTTGAAAAAATCCTGGCTGCGCCCCTGCCCGGTGATAATTCTAGCTAAAATGTTACAATTTTATTTACGGAATTTGCAAATTCACCATTTTGATAATCACGCCCTAATTATTGGTGCAAAAATACTCAAAATAACGAATTTAATCATTTCCGATGTTATAGGCGCAATTCATGACGGCGACAGTGTGCGTTGTTACATCGAAATTCACGATTGATTTTACGTTATACTCTTGTTCACGATTTCAACACTCCACCGCCATGCATGGCTGAGTGGAAGGTTCACATTTTCGAAACATTACTTGGCCAAGGATGGGAGGGATCACTAACGAGCTAATTGAAAGCACATTAAAAGGATTATGACTTGTCATTTTTTTCTGGTTATAGCCTGTACATGTTATACCATGTGTGGGCTCTCGGAACGTCAATTTAACTTTTAATTTTCGACAATCAATTGTATGTGCGGCTCCTACATGAAACGGCTAATTCATGCTGCCAATATACGGAGTTTGAAATCTGGGATATTTATTTCGAATAGTCTATTTATTTTGACTCTTCTAAAATTAGGAAGCTTTGTTGGTACCTTTTTTGGCGCAAAGTATGAAATTGAAACGATACGAATATTTTGCCCAGTCCTATAGGCGAGGTTATGATATTAACGCAGAGAATATTTGTAAGCATATCACTGGATGGAAATATTTTGCACCAAGACTGTTTGCAGAAGTTGATTTATCGAATACACGGAAAGTATTTATTTATCATCTCACTTGCGAACATCGGGGTTTGGGCGGAATTATACGATTATGTTGTTGTTCTTAAATAATAACTTTTTCGATGAATGTTTATTTTACTTTTGTGTATTAATTATGATATGTTGAGTTTTCGTTTATTTCAAATTCGAAATTGTCCGGAATACTCAAACAGGTGTAATAAGTGTAATATTGATAGTATAGTGTAATCGAGTAACCAACTTAGAAGTCTTTAGAGATGTCTAATGAACTTGATGTGTTACGGGTGTCGTAACCCCCGTTTTTTTTTTATTAAATTTGATTGTTCTACCTTCCGCTTATAAAACAACATCGTTATACGTCATCTAAGGTAACTCTCGCGACCAAATCTTTTTGTTCTGTATGGCATCACCTTAGCGCCATTTATTACCGACTGAATTTTAATTGTGTTTTATGATAAGTTATTTTCTGTTAGTTGGCGCTGATAACGTCGCTAATTTCTGTATAAACATGGAAAATTTTAAATATGTTCCTTACGTCTCTGCTATAATTGACAAGCGATAGCACAAGATTCAGCAGCAAATGATAAGCAAAGCTATTTTATAATCATGGGTTGCTTAATAAAGATTTGCTAATTATGGCAGGATATAAAGAACATGGCCTGAAATATATAATTAACAGAACGATGTTTATTTTTCAGTCGACGAAAACCCTTAATAATAACGATTGCCGAAATCGCGAAAAAAATGAATACGGATTTTCGATTGTGATCAGATGACTGAGAGGGCACATGTTTTTTTCTCTGTTCAAAGCAGATATAAAACGAATACCATGTTGCCGAAAAGCGGTTACGTGTTATCTTTCTTTAGCCAATCAAAATAGTGGTAATGGTATATACAAGAGGTTTCTAAACTTTACAAACTCGGAACGCAATTAATATTAAAATTACAAGTAATGGTGCATGGAAAAACGAATTTGATTTTATTGAAATTGAAACGCACACACATAAGAGTTTTACATTTCATGCACAACTAACCGATGCTACATGTGAGATTTGTGCACATGAACGATTATATATCGCGATTATTTATGTGAGAATGCGTACTTCTCTTTCAACTTTAATTTCCAGGATTTCGGCGTTCACGTGGTCGACTAAAAAAGATTTATCAAATGGATTGGTATTTCGCGTCACACTCAAAATTATTTGGGAACCAACCATCATGTCATTCGTTTATTTTTTACATTCATGTTTTTTTCAAGAATCACCCTGTTGTATTTCCTGTACCTTCGCAAAGGAAAACTCTTTGGTGTCATCATTACTATCAGTGTAATTGAAAGTGGCGTTGAGATGCGAATATTTCATACTAGGTCTGCAGCATTAGAGAGAGCGTTATTTATGAATGCTGGAAGTACATGGCATTTCTAAAAAAAATTGCAAATATATGATGTTTTCTACCCGATTTGAACTTACTGGCCCGCAAACCAATGCAAGTCGATATTTGGAAATTACATGTCTTAGCGTAATCCGTGAGACAGTATAATATAAATTAGGCCAAGCTAGCTCATGAAAGAGATTTCAAAGTGATCTTGCGTAATATTTCGGAAAAAAAATCTTATTTCCCAAAGAAAAACTGGCCGGAGAAACATGACGTTAACCAATCTCTTAAAAGGGAAGAGGGCGGACTACTTTCAAGCATATTCTTTCGGACGAGGAAGCGTGTTATACTAAAGCGATATTGGTGATGGGTCATGGGGATGTCATTTTGCCCGGGTTTTGTACAAATGATCCCCCTCCCTAGCTATGGCCGGTAGTAACTAATATCTGCGTGTATCAATCGGTGTCTGTTAGATGGAAGAAACAAGTTTGCAAGTCTTGTCTGTTCAGGCGGGAGTGCGCTTCCTTACTGACGCTGGTGGTTGATTGCACGAAACTTTTATTCCCGACAAGTGTGCTTATCAGGTGTCCTTTGATGAATTCGCTTGTTTTTAACAAGAGTTTAAACGAAACTCCGTTAACGGAAAGACTTCAATTCACAATATTAACGAAAGGAGCGCTTTTTCGAGTATCTATGCTGTTTGAAATGAGTTTAAACGAAAGCTAGGGCACCTAACTAGTTAAAATCAGAAAAAGCACTTTCGCACTTTTTTTTTCGACTGCGAAGCACTTTCGCACTCATAATTTCCTTAGAGTTAACACTGCATGGGAGAATGAATCAATAAACCCTGGAGGTTTTCCGATGATTGAAAATGCATTCATAAATCAATGACTTACTGAATATAATTTACCAGGGCAATTTTAATTACGGTAGTTACATATAATATTCATTAATGGAACTATAAATTTGATAAAAGATGAACGCACAAAAAATATAATTGGCTGAAAATAATAATGCCACATGCTCGGTTATTAAAGCGGATCTCAGTGATCACGAAAAGGAGGATATGGAGGTAATATTAAATGCTGTATCATTTAACAAAACCATTTTGCGCAAAAGACGATCTAGGGGAAGTCCACTCTCTAACTTTCTATCCAAGATAGATACATTAACAAGAAAAATATCCATTTAATAAACTTTTTTCAAGAAAATTTTTTAAGTTAACATTTGTTATAAGCAACTTACATTTGCCCCATACACCTAAATGGAGTACTTGAAAAAACAAAATTTTCCGGCTGCGCCTATCCAGTATATTAAACCGTGGGTGATATTTGAGTTCAAGGGCTTCCTTGATATAGGGGAACTTCTTGAAGAGTTGAGACACACCCCGGTCTGGCTCGATATTACAGACTAGCATAACTTCATAAATAAATAAATGTTTTGATGAGTATATTTTTAAGTACATACCTGCCAGTCAGCATAGCTGCTTACTCCACAGCACATAAAGTCTTGTTGCATCAAATCTACGGCTTTCGTGAGTGCTTCTTGTCCGGTGACGTTGTAATTCTTTGCTAGGTTTCCTGCAAGCTCGTTATGTAGTTCAGAGTGGATGGATTCGTGGTAAACAAAAGCCAAGATACCAGCGAGAAGTTCAATGATGAACAAAATAACAAGGAGAATGAAATAGATCATGAGGGTACGTGGACTTTTCTGAATTGCTCCTACACATCCTATAATGCCAGTTATAAGGATAACAGCTCCAGCTCCGATCAACATGTATACAACGAGAGTGTAAAAGGCCGATGTCAGCAAAGCCGCATATTCCATTTTGGCAATAATTGACCATATTCCGAGAGCGAGGGCACTTCCTCCTCCGAGTATGAAGAAGAAGTTGCATGCGATAAGGACTCCTCGTAAACATGTAACATCGCATGTGCGATCTGATGGTGAATCATATTCTTTACTATTCTTACTTTTCGCCATTATTTATAGATTGGTTGTAACTACTTTGAAAAAGATAACACAAAATCATACACTGAACTGTATTATTATCAATATACATATATATAAATCAGATACATCTAATTCATCTCAATCGGAATGTAAATTGGATATTATACTTTTAAAAAAAATTCTATACTGTTTTATATTGTCTTTTATTGTTTGTGGAAATAAAATCTCTCTTTTACTCTCTCCAAGTCCAAATCTAATTTTACAATCAACTGTATGTTTGGTTGGTAAAAATTAAATGCTCTCTAGTAAATGTGACACAAAATTAAATTCATAATATCAGTAATATTTGAGTATAATAGAGTCGAAATAAACTTTTATTATATATTATAATAGTGTGCCAAATCATTGGTCTTCTTTCAGGTTTTGTAGTGAAGCAACTCAACTTTCGTTTATTTGAATCAACTACTGAACTAGCACTTCTGAACTTAACTACCAATAGACAGGTTTATAGGTAAAACAGGAGGGATTTAAATGGAATGGTATTTATCAGGAAGGTAAAGGGTTAGTATGTAAAAGGGTTAATAACATGACGAGATGGAAATACACAGAGCAATAGGAAGTTATTCAATTGGATTTTGAAAATTACAGAATTATTACTGGTCAATCAATCCCTAAAAGAGGAAAGTGAATAAGGCGGTCTAATCATAAGCTAACATTCTCCGAACCCGAACATTCAACGTACCTACATGCTAAACTTGTATCTGTAAACGTATGGCTGTATGGTAAGTACCGGTACGTTGCGCTGGTAGGATAAACAAAGAAAATGGTATACAGTTATCTTATAACCTCAACAACTGACTTTTTTTTTAATTAAGTTGGCTGGCGAGTCTTACTTTTCTGCTCTTAATTGTCCGCATCAAAAGTACACATCTAATACGTTCCACGATCACACACTTTGATAAGCGACTTGAGCGAAAAGCGATTCGTCCGCCATTGTTCATGGATACGCCCGCGACACGCTACGATGAAGAGACGGAATGTCCATAGAAACGGTTCGTCACTTCCTGGTTACCCGCACCGAACCTTCTTCTGTCGTTCGCTCGACGCACTCGCGCGAACAGCTGCGAGATTTGACGCGTGTGTGAGAAACTGCCGGCTGTTTAAATATGGTAAAGTACCGATGACTGAATGAAACGCTTATAGTAAAGCGTCATTTATCATTGAGTATGCCAGAAAAAGCATGTCTGCGCCATTTCATTACGGCCATACATGAACTGCACATTTTAGTTGACAAATAGTGTTTTCACACTTGGTACAGCATCCTAATTACACTCTTATAAGTTTAACCTTCTGTCTCAAACTTTTAGTTTGATTTCAATATAATTTACATTTTCTGTATAAACTTCGTGATATATACGTTGCTACATATTTGGTCATAATTACTAGAAACTTAAAACACTGGACATTCTTAGAGAGTGAAAAACATACTACATTTTGAGTAAACTTTTCGAGTTAGTCATGCCAAGTCTCCCCACAAAATAAAATTGAGAGCAATTCACGACACTTGCTTTATTGAGTGAATTGTGCAATAAGGAAAGAGACACACCCCGAGAGAAGAAATAGAAATCCAATTCCAAACCGAAACTCAATTTGGAGTAATAGCAGACCAACGTAATAAATCGGATAAAGGATTAGGTAATACAGATATTATTAAATGTTAAAATTCTTCTGTATTAATGTTTTCATATGTACAGATGATGTCAAAATTGTCGGTTCGTCGATATTCGTGTATTTGAGAAAAATAACTCGCATAATTATATTTGTATAATGACTTCAATCTTGCTGCGTTTTCAGATTTTTAAGCAAATATAGAGTTTTGACCAGCGTGATATGAATTTGTACCAAGACAATTAGAGACCCGAAGATCGGGCCATCGGGTCACCATTTTCTACTACAACAAATATAGCACATACCTTGATAGAGCGTACACCACTTCTCCGAGGCTTTGTGCAAATGTATCCCATGTGCCTGAGTTGGCCGTATATTCTTTATCACCGTCGATGACTCCTAAATCCACACTCCCACTTCTCCGCATTTTACTTCGTGATGCATGCCAACTTCGACTCCGAAGTCCGTTAGTTCTTGGAGTGGAGGCTCTGCGTCTATGTCCGAATGAGGTATCCAGTTTGTGATTATCTTTTTCTTCATTTTCGTCTTTGGTGTTATTATTATTATTTTCATTATATCCCTGGCCCAAAATAGGAGAATCCGGAGTGTCGTCTGTTATTATTAATTCCGGGGCCTGTTTTTCGACATTAGGTGGTGTTCCGTGCATTGAAAGACCAGTGAGTGATGTAAAACTGTTCACAAATTCACTATGTTCAACTAGTCCGTCATTGTTTAGGTCCATAGCATTAAAAATCTCCTTCACGTCATCTGGCGGAAGACTCATGCCCTCCCCAAGCTGTTCAAATTGATTGAAGGTTAGATATCCCAAACCATCCGAGTCGCAAGCCTCGAAAAGTTGTTCTATTTTGTCTTGATCCATTTTAAGTTCACAGTGGTTAACCAAACAAAACTAAATTTTTGAAACCGTCCGACTACATCTATCTTTAGGAAATGTACCTAAATAAAACAATTATTAATGTTACATTGAAAAATACTCATTACTTTTAAGTAGTGGAGTCGCACGTTTTAAAATGTGAAATATTTGAAATTTGATTGTATTTAGTTACCTTACACTTATTACCTATACATTCCGAAATGTACACAATAATCTAATGATAAAATAAGTAGAATCGAGTGAACTTGACTTAGTAGCGCATTAAACCACTTGTCAAATTTACATAACATTTGGAGCTCTGGAATAGTGAAACTTTCATATGTGACGTAGATAAAATGAGGAAACTACTGACTTTTTAATTCCTATACTATTGCTCTATTCAAATATGCATTCATACATGCCAGGGGTGGCCAACATGCTTTCGGCCGCGATCGACTAAAATCTTCAAGATAGACCGCGATCGACTGATCGGTAATAAGGCCATGTACAAAACGATTAAGTACCGAATATGCAGATAACTGCACATGAGCATACATAAAATTTCACTACTGTCATTCTGTGACGCATTCTTAATGGAATCGGCACAAAAATTGCATTTTTATGCTCCATTTAATTTGAGTATGTATTTATATCTGGAGTAAATGTTTTAACATTTCTAATTTATTTAGTTTAAGATATATTCAAAATTTACAATTCAGATGTAAGCCCGCCTAATTCTTAGTCGTGTGTGTTGAAAATTCCCCAAAACCCTGCCAAGTATCTATATTTATCTAAACAGCGGAAATTAAATACTCCCAAGCTATAAATGTTACATGACTGCTCAAACTTCAGTATCTAATTTACAATTAATTTTCAGCAAGTCATTCTTCGCAAGCTTGGAACTTAAAAAATTGGACATTCTGATGCCACTGCTACCGTTGCGAATAAAATTTATCACACTACTCTTGGGTGGGTGAGCTATTATTTTTGACATACTACGGACGTTAATGTAGGACCGTTGTCAGTTAATAGTCAAGACACACGGTATCCGGTACGTTCATTTCTAAACCTAAGCAGCGGGGATTCGGCTTGCCCAAACTCAAATACAGTATGTATGCTACGTGTATATTGCATTTTGAGCATGTACAGTACTGTATTCTTCCTACTGTATTTTAAAACACATAAGCGCAGCATAAAACTAATTCAAGGCAATTGTTTGGGGTATGTTATTAAATTCACGTAACATCAGATGCGATCGACTACTCGAGACGTGGCGATCGACGTGTTGGACACCCCTGATATATGCGATACTTCTCTATAAGTACAGCCTAATTTAGCGACAGAATCGATCATATTTACAGCGATGATTAGAAACAAAACAATTTCGGCAATTCCACATTTAATATTTGTTCCAAATATTAACTTCGAAGATTTACAATACCTGATTGAACTCACAAAGGAATACCAGCAAAGATTTACCGTATATGCTGCGTTATCAGTCGTACATATTCACATATGGCAATTGAGGAAACGCGTCATTTAAACAAAACCAAGGCTGTTTCGAGCTAGGTAGGCAGTAGGATCAACAAATAATCAAAAAGCACATTCCAGGTGATATTTTCCCACAAAACCATTCATAAATCCCGTAATATTAAGTCCAATATGAAAAATTTGTTAGGGGCATATGTAACTTTGAAATGAGTTTTTTTATTAGTCCTGATCAGAACAATGCTCTCAGACCTTATTTACACAGTCTCGTTGCTAGATTGCAATCATCTTATAATTACTAAGAGCGAAATTCGAGATAGCTCACCAAGCTGGTAGCGTACAAGCTTCGCCGCGCATAAATGTAATGGAACGAAACAGATAATAATTTTCAAAATAAAATGATTATCTTTCAAAATGAGAATGCCTTTGCAATTTCAGTCAAGGATTTCGACAAAGAAATAGCGCAGAATATTAATCTCTACTCTCGCTATAACAAACGTGTACCAAAACTGATCCAACAGCCTATAGCAATAACAAGGCAAGTAGACAGTTCCACATAATATACATCGAGATTAAATTTATGTATGTACGCTTCAAAAGTAATTTTCCGTGCTATTATTGGCTTTTGTGCGACGAAGCGAAAGTTATGTTGTTTGTGATATTTTTTATAGATGGATCTCTTTAGCACAAAAGACCCAATCGTTTTTCTTTGCGTAGCTACACAGTAATATGAGGATTACGTGATAAATCAAGTTATGCTTCAAGATTGCTTTTGTACGCCGTGATTTGCAAAATAAATTATAAACCAGGTCATTCTAGCAAGCGATAAAAGAATTACATGATTTTGATTAAACTTGGGTAGATGTCATAGTTGAACCACTAATTTGAAGTTCTTAAGAACGGATATTTTCACAGATCCCGCGCTTTTAAAAAGTAATTTTTTATCGACGTTCTCGTACCTCGCTCTGAACAAGGATCTCTACAAGCAGCTAGTGATATGGAAGTCGCTACCATTCTAAATAAAAAGAAGGTACTTCTGTAGCGTGTGTACCAGGTTAGGCCATAATTGTATTCCGATTTTCCTTATTTTAGTTCTATTACGAGTTCGGGGACTGTCTGTGTTAGCCAATTGAATATACCTTCAGTCCCTCCACACAAATTGATGTAAAGTAGGCGAACAAAATTATTTACCTCCATATTAATAAACACACTTCTGGAGCGCCGAAGAGAAAACTTTCCAGTTCGAATCAGATATCAAAATTATGTGCACCTTGGGTGCACGTGATCTTGATTGTTTGCATTCTATTTTCAATTTTATGTTACCCAACACTTGAATCCCGGGCCCTCTGGTTCAATTCAAATTACTAATAGCCAATGTCGGTACTTGTCAGTAAATTCAACATAAAATTTACCGAGTATCGTATAAAAATATATACACAAATTAAAATCACTACAAAATATTATGCTCCTACTATCATCTGGCATTCAGCTTGGTGATCGATAAATAAGTGGTGCTTGAATAAACTTTGTCGACCAAGTGCTCAATTGAAGAGGATGCCTGTTCTGGTACGCAATAAATAAAAATACAAAACAAACAACAAATCGAATTCAAAATTTCTAATCGACGTGAAGTTTCATATCCTAATAGTTTAAAATTATAGATTACACATATTATAAAAATAGAGTAAATGTCTAATGTACGAAAAATAATTCGTTGCCACTTGGGTGAGCGATTGAGATCGCGTATCGAAGGAGTTTTATGACGCTGAGATCAGATACCAAAGTGGCACCAATAATCTAATACCTATAAAAACACAAACATTAACTTTGATACAGCATGTTTAATACTCCAGACACTGTTTCTACCTAACTTCATATCATAGATAGAATACAGACTGTATCACGATTCACAATTCGAGTAAAATGCAAAGTAGAAGACAACCAAATTTTAAAGATGGAGCCTACAAAACTAACACTTTGAAACTGGAGTAAAATATTACGCCCAAAAACTTTCACTTTATAACAGAAACAGAGTTTTAACCTCATTTCTTTACACGCAAAATGTCAGACACGTCTTTCGGTGACATTCCACGACCAAACGTTGTGGCATGTAACGCCAACTTCCTGTATTTTGAACAAAATCAATGTATTCTTATATTTTACTTCTCGCGTAATTTTCGAATAGCTAGATCACCTGCCATGTATAAATTTAAGCTGACGATGCAGAGGTGATATTCTCAATTAACTTGTATTTTTGATGGTATTTCCTAAAAATTAGCGTATGGTGATTCTAAGCACGTTTTATCCGCATAATAATAACGACAGTTAAATTCCAGTCCATGTTTTTAAATCGAGCGTTTTGTCGGTCAATACATATTTTACCTGTACGTGCATAGCATTCCAGGTAATCCAAGAGCAGCATACTGCAGCACGAAATCAACGCGCGTGAACTAAATGAATTGTATGGCAATTGGCAAGCAAAAAAAATCACGAAATTTCTTTGCATACGACGATTTCAGTGTCAGGAGTTTAATTTTTGATTGAAGATGGAAATTTTGCACATGAAATTTTGAACAATATGACACCATAGAATATGACATCATATAAACATTATCGTATTAATGGCTGCCTGTACATTGGCTTGTTCGTAGTGAAAAGTATTATAAATACTAGGGCCCGGCTGTGACTAAATTAGCTCTGAACTAAAGCAAGCAGCCTATGAGCCATATAACCAATCGTTCTCAGAAGTCATACGTTCCTGAATTCGACTTTCAAGAATTCATAGAAGAATCGTTATAATAAAAACGTCATAATTTTAATAAGTCCTTTAAATAAATTACTCATTCACATGCATTTCTACCTACCTGCTAAAACACACATAATGCACTTAGTGTACATAAAATTACTGATACTGGTCCTCGACCTGATGTCCAAAACATAGGCTAAAAATGGTGAATAAACGCGTGATAACATCAACAATATAACAGATAGTTGTGACGCGCTTTATAAACTCAAAGTTAACTATATGTAGAAATATAATCATAGCACGGATGTAAATAGTATTTAAAAATAAACTTCAAAAGACGGCGTCATCTAATTAATCTCTTACCGAGTCTTAGATCGCAACAAACAGTATCAAATTTCAACCTATATTTTTCGACCTGTAATTGAAGTCATAGGGGATTCAATGCGGCGGTGATTTATCACTGTTTACAAATCTCAGAAATATTACCAGCATTTAACAGTAGTTGACTACTTTGTGAGGGATCAAGTGGCCTTTTCAGGGCTGGCAAAACTGAACATACCATTAGAAGGGAACCATATGTGAAAAAATATAAACAAAAATACATATTCGCTTCCAGATTACATTTATTTGCGTATCATAAATCCCTTACATACATGCGTGAATTACAGTAAAATCACGTACAGTTATAACATTTTAGCTGCCATAGTTCGCCTAATTTTATTACCTCAGGGCGTCATTAGCTTACTCTGCGGTTCAAGGTGCCGCGTTGGAACTTCGCCCTAAAGACGTAACGCAGTTCATCCGCGGTCCACGGTTAAACGGGTGTTAAAATAGAAAGTGTCTGAGATA